ATTCAAGGATGTGTGAGAATTCCTTGAGAAATCCTCCGTCTCCTGTGTAGCCATGTTAAGTTGTCTAAACACTTGATGGTACATAGCTACTCCCTGAACAACTGAAGGTAACTAAAGTCCCATCTCCACCTGTGCGCTTGTGTGCAGTTCAGCTTGGTTCAGCCTTGGCTGAATGCGTCTCATTTAGGTTCCAACCGCACATAACTGCACTGTTTCAGTACCTCCTCTCCGGTGGTTCTAAGCGGGTAGAAGCAAGTACAGCACGTTTACAATTTTGACATCAGCAGAATGCTGCCCGTAACTCAGCTCTGGGATTGATTGACAAAGGAAAGGCATTACTTGATCAAACTTCCTCCTGGAGAGAGACGCTTTTGTTTTGGAATACGAGTGCACGACGCGATACGACGAAGTGGTGAAAGCAGTGATAAAACCATGGTCTAACCTTTTTAGCAATTTTGGGAAAGCGTCGGTGRCTGTTCATCTCCTGGCCGACTGACCATTTCGATGGGTGGCCGTATTCTATCAGAACTCGGACATTTTGCCTTGAGCGAGCTGGACTCGGTCTGCAAGCGGTTCTATTGAGGATCGCGGGCCGGCTGTAGTCCGGCTGTAGACTTTGCTGGCCAGATGGAATTGATCTTGGAGGAATCTGATAGATTCAGCTCGGCGGAATCTGTCCAAACCATTTTGCCTGATTGGGATCRCCAACCTTGAGATGTACCAGCAGGAACTCTAAAGCAGATGGAAAATTGTTATCGTCTGCTTGACTCTTTTGTTCCCAAAACAACTGATTACAGAATCTGGATCTCCCCGACAACGGCCTTGGATCTGTTGACTAAATTCTTCCTGGATGGATGTGTCGACAAAGGCTCTGCCCCCACCTGCCCCCCTCCTTTTGCCCGTCTAATCTGTTTTTCAGAGCAGGCTGAAAGCTGCACAGAAATGAACAGTTTCCATCAATATTTCTGAGCTATGGCTGTGCTGGTTTTGGGGACTGGATTCTTYGGACCCCCTTAAACTCACTTACTCCTCTGGCTAATAACTTGCTCTATGCAGAGGTTTTTTTCATAAACACCATAGTGTGTCACAGTGTTGATATAATATGATGTTTTTGCTTTTTCCTTATCTTCCTTTCCCCTGTGTGTTTTTCGGTTTTTCTTTGTTTCTAAGTTGGCGCCATGGCAGGCTGCCTGTTACTGCAACTCCACTGTTTTGAGCTGCTCTAATGTTCAAATTTCCCCACTGTGGGTTCAATAAAATTCTACCTTATCTTATCTAATTGCAAACACTTCCTAGAGAGAGGTGACGGAGACGAAGCCGAGTAGATACGGTGAGGTTTCAAACAAACTGACAATCCACAGTTACACAAGCACTTATAAACAGAACCGCAACAAAACATAAATAAATAAAAAGTAAAGTTCGAATGGTAAGATCACAACAGTTTTTTTTACACAATATTTGAAGCCGCTGTGGATGATCCACTCATAACCACGCCCACAGAGTAAGGGACACTGAAATGGAGACACACAAAGACCTGAGCAGAACCAAACAGACCCAAACTGAATAGAGTAGAACTGTGCTCATGGAGAAGGGGCTATTGTTACTTGATTGTGGTCTAAAATTGAACTATGTGCCTGGAAAATACATAATGCCACCCCTTTACTGGTTTTGTGGAGTGCATGCATGCTTCTAGATTGTTAGTTGTGAAAAAGTTCATCAGCAATAGTAAAAATTTACATTTGCATAAACTTTACAAAGGCCTATTTATCATATTTTATGAGTTATTTTGTTCTGGGTTACTGTGATGTAGCTAGAAACATGACAGCCAGCACAGTGGTCTCTGTCGAGAAAGATCTCTTTTCGTAAAGGACTGAGATGACAGTATCACAGTTATTCATATTTTCAGATGACTAGGAAATACTAAAATCAAAACTAAAATCCATAACAGAAATTTTATGATGCTATTTGTAAAATGACAATATGAAAACTATGTCAGTATAAAATAAATTTGAATTAAGTAAATGCCATTTCCTGCATTCTGGTGTATTTTAACATGTTGCTAAACAAATCTTTACCTACATAGGAACAACTTGGTGTGAGTATTCTATAAATCAAGTGGAGTAAAAGTGTTTGTTAAGCGATAGAAACAACACTGGGTGAACTAATATTTAATGATAAACGTGGGGGTTCCAATGAATTCAGTTTTAAATGTGTGCATGTGTTAAATGTGATTCACAAATAATTTCTGTGACGTCCGGCATTTTATTTAAAAAAGTCAAAATACATATTTTGAAGTAATTTACCAGGAACAAAGTTTCTCAATTTTAAAGCCACCACCTCTTCTATGTATGTTAAAACAGTTTCATTTGCTTGTTGATGTTTACTTTTGCTAATACCAAAAACTGGAAATAAAGACTAAAACAAGCACAATTACAAACTACATATACTGTAGCATTATCCCAAGCTATTCTTTTAGTTGGTTTTTCATGACATATTGATTTTAATAAATACGATTTTGGTCTGCGAGAGAAAACTAAGGTATCTGGAGAAAACCCACTCATGCACGGAGAGAACATGTAAACACAGCCCATTCTTCTTTAGAGGCAACATGTTGCTCTACTGTGCTGCCTATATGTATTATATAATTATTGATTTGATTTATTGATTTAACAGGAAAAGATTAYTAAAAATCAAGCCTGACTCAGCATAATTGCTGTTTTATAGCAGGTTCCTGTTCTGCAGCACATAAAACACTCAGAAATACAGCATCACAATTCAATCATTCAAATTATTTAATTAACTATATATTTAATTAAACTATATCTATGAATATAACCTCCTGAGGACCTCCATCTTCATTTGAGAACAATGGGCCTCATGCAAGAACATGTTCATATTCTTATCCTAAATTTCTCTTACTTTTGTTCGTACAAAGGGTTCGTACGAACATGTCACGTCAGATTCAACAAACTCTTCTATCTTCAGGAAAAGTGTGTAAATGAGCTGCGTAAATTACACCTGTTCTATCCAGCTGCTCGTGCACGCGAGAGGAGATTAGCATAATTACCACCCCAAAAACACCATATAAGGCTATGTTTCCTGCCTCAGATATCAGGAAGTGTCCATTCATGAAAATGACAGCGAAAATTAAAAAGAAGAACTTTACGAGTTCAGAGACTGAAGTCCGTCTGTCAGAGATCCAGAAGAAAATCTGTCATTTTTAGCAGGTCAGCTGTGGAATAAAAAGAGCTGCTAAAAGTATAAACAACTGTGTTAAATCATTTTCATTTATTTAGAAGCGGCAGCGCAGCGCTGCGCACCGTAACCCCCCCGCGCTGCGGTGGTCTCAGATGCGGGGTTGAAATAAGCATTTTAAAATGTTTTCAAAATAAGTCTGGCACTTTGGAGAAAATCCAGGACTTGATCATATACCCCGTCTGGCCTGGGAACGTCTCAGAGTCCCCCAGGACGAGCTGGAAAGTGTCTCTCGTAAATTTTGTTCGTTTCTGAAAAAAATCGTAGAATACGAAAACATTGGTGAATGCCACAAATTCTCCTAAATCACTCGTACGCGCAATTTAAGAACAAATCTGTGCGTACGAACGGTTCTTGCATGAGGCCCATTGGTTTTAGACTGTCCTTATTCAGAGGAGCTACATTTTTAGTTTTTATTTTAAACAAAACATAACTGTTTTTAACTCTTAATTGTTAATAATATTTGTTTTTTATATTTATGTGGTTCTATTATACCATAAGTCCATGTATGTCACTCCAACTGCAGCATTTGACACATTTTAAATTATAATGAGCTCCATGGAGGCCCAGGAGGTTCCATTAATGACAGAACAACACAAAACAAGCCTGTCAAGAAGCCACCATAATGAATGTTGATAAGAACCAAAGTTTTCGGGGCAGATGAAACAAAAGTCACATCAGTTCCATGTTTACAGAWGTAAATTAAACCTAAAAAAAAACMCTGCTGTGAAGCATGAAGGGGACTCAGCTTTGTGGACTGCTGTGCTGTATCATGCTAGAGGGTGCAAAGAAGTCTCAAGACTATCAAGGCCTCTTGGAGTGAAACATACTGACTGGCTTTGCATCAGTTGCAGCACGAGTTCTTAACAAAGATAATGACCCAAAGCATGTAGGTAAAAGTTTCAAAACGTACTGAGTAAAACAGAGTCGTTGTTCTTAGATGGTCCTCCACAAGCACAGATCTTAATCCTGTAGAACATCTATGGAAAAGTCTAAAAACTGCAGCAGAAACACCATCAGTTTATTCTGGAAGAGAGAAGCTATCTGTTGGTAAGTGAAGAGAAGGACAGAAATTGCTGCAAAACGTGAATGTATAAAATATATACTGTATATTTTTTATATATGAAATTTTAATGTTTTCAGACAGACTTGTGTTAAAGATAGAATAATCAGGGGTTTTGCCCGTTCCAAGTTATTTCAGATCGTTTTGTTAGTGTGCATATGAAACRTACACTAATGAGATCCTGTTTAGCTAATACTGTAAGCTAACAAGAAACCTTTAGCTAGTAACTCCATCTCTCACTCACTCCAAACCCATATGGCTTCAGTGGAGGCATGGCATTGATTTGTAACAGGAACTCATTCAGCTCCAACACTGAAGAGATTGTGGAACGAACTTACTTGAAAATGAAGTTTTTTTAAATGCCAGTGTTTCATTCTGACCTCATTATAAACACACGCTCAGTTCTCCGTTCCTGGTGATTATCGATATCCAAAGACATTTAAACTTACTGGCTATTAATGAAACACAGCATGCACATTGTTTATTGTTATTTTTTCACGTCCAATTATATGTTTATTTTCTTTTTGGTTTATTTTTATGCAATGGTGCATTCAGTGTTATATTTTACTGTTTATCTCTTTGTGTGTAGCACTGCAGAAAATGGCAGTTTTTAACTGTGCTGTTTGAAAGTTTCATGCTCCATTTCCAAYGCACACTTGTTTTTACATAGTAAAAATGTCTCTAGTTATTCATTGTGCTCTTTATTTTTAGACAGTAATGTAGTGCAAAACAGTATTTTTTTTACAGTAATGAGGCAGTAAAGCGTTTTTGCAAACCTGATAGGGCACTCCAGTGACAACAATCATAAAAAGATATTTTCCTTAATTAAATGTAGKCCAGTCATATTAAAATGTCTCTGAGAAAGTTGGACACGGTTTCACTTGATGACATGGACCTGGATATTGGCGGCTTCTGCTTGTTTTCTCTCTGATCACTGCATCACAGGTTGAATCGGCTCTCAACCTCGTCTGCAATCATTTCAGCGATGGCGAGGGAGGAGGTAGCTGCTGGCGAGGGAGCGTTACGAACATGGAGAACCCGACTGCCCACGGCTCCAACTCCACCATCGAACACAAAGTCATCCACAAGGTTTCCATCACGATCGAGGGCCTGAGCTCGAACTCCTGCAGGACCCCTGGACAGGAAACAACCAGGTTCACAACAGGTCAGACGCTGAGAGTTTTAGTGAAGTAGAGCGCTCGATGGTATCAGTATTTATTGGTGAATTATTTCTGTACCTCAGGACATCATTTAGGGCGAGCTCTGGAACATACTTCTGCAGAATTTTAATTTGTGCACCAATGAAAACACCTCTGTACATTTCTCCAAAACCGTAAGTTAAATTCCTCAAAACCAGCTTCTGAAGACCCCTGCAGGGTGAAACGACAAAGTTTCAGTCTGATGTCAGAAAACAAAAAACTTTTTTACAAGAATGCATTTGTAAATGTTGAACCTGAAGGAGAGTGCATCTGCRAAGTCCTGGGCACTGAAGTCATAAGCTTTGTAGCCTTCTCGTTTGAAGGCCAGAACGGCATTAGGACCGAGCCAAACACCACCATCCATCCTCGGGGTGAAGTGAACTCCAAGGAATGGGAAGCGGGGGTTAGGAACCTAATAAAGGTTTCACAGAAATCAAAATAGGGGAGACCGGGGACAGAAGCAACAAGGGACGGTTSYAACACGTCATTTTTTTTTCCAAACAGAAACAGTGTAGAGTGATGACACTCACACTGTACATGCTCAGTTAGATGTCCCACCTYGTAAAGAAAAAGTAAACAGATTCAAAAACTGATCCAGGATTTATTTGAAAAAAAATAACTGTTTTTGAGGAACCAAAGTATTTTTTTGTCCAGTTTTATTTGTGTTAAACTATTGTCTCTGTTTTTGTGATCCAGCTCAAACTAATATGGTTTAAACAAGTGATCTGTTGACTTTTAACTAATCTAGTTAACATGTATCCAGATGAGCTTATTTAGCTAACACATGAGGTTTTATCATGGCTGACAGGAAGGGGGACAGTTGTAACAGTTGTTGTAACTGTCCCCATACGATAAATCCATATAAAACAGAGCACATACAGATGAGATTAACATGTTGAAATTAAGTTTACACTTAAAAGGGTGTTGGGTATTCATGACAGTTTTATAGTTTAAAACATAAAAGTGTTTAAGATGTATTTTCTGCAGTTGTTGTTTTCAACAATGGTTTTAAAATCCCAGTTTGTTTAATGTAAATGTTACATAATGTAGGCGTACAGTGACAACAGACAAAACTAAAGTTAATTAACTCACAAATTGTTCTGTTATCCTTGTGTCTAAAAGTCAACTGTATTTTATATCAATTAGAGTCTTTGACATCTGTATGTAAGGTCTACTCATCAAGGCTAATCTATATTCATCATTTGATCAGAAATAATAAATAAATAACTGTAATATCATTATAACTTACAGGTTTTATTCATTTAGCAATAATATAAATATAAAAATATAACTTTTATTTACAGTGAAATATAATGTATTAATAATATGCTGTAACCACCCACAAACAATGTTGCAACTGTCCCCAGCCACGGGGTCAGTTGCAACATCTGACTTTTCATTTTCAAAGGTAAATAGTGAAGAATGTACATGTTTTAATCATCTATAAATGGTTTTGACTACAGCCTCGTCTTCCAGTTTTTAATTTTTGTTGATGCGTTTTGAAGAGACAATTTTTTGAAAAGATGATCAAAGTAAATCACCTGAGTTTTTCTAGTGAACCTTAAAGAGATAAGCTGCCATGAAGAACATTATTTTAACTGTCCTTGTTCCAAATTTGATAATGATTTGAAACGTCGAAGTTATGTTTTTTTTTTATCCAGAACAGCGCTTGTTGCAAAGTGTTTTGATGCTCGTCTTCGTCACTTGACACATTTAACACGCTGTCATTGGTTGAGCTTTGTTTACAAAACACGTCCACATGGTTTTTAAATCATTTTAATTTCCTTACTTTCTAAGACACATTAAGTTGATTTGATGCTACAGTTTGCCTTGTAATGTTATTTTATACCTTTTCTGCTACTTTCGAATTGGCTATTATTAAGTTTTATTAGTTTTTTAGGATACAAGATGCTTCCTACAAAACCAGAATGGGAATCTTTTCCTAACATTTCATGGTGATATCTTGAACACTGAGGAAGTTATGAACAAAATTAGAAAACAACAAGGTGAAATGGTCACAAAGGCCCCATTGGTTCTGCTGTGAACTGCAGCAAGAAAACATGAGCTGATTTCACCTAAACAAACATCAATAACTTCCCTCAGATAATCACATGGTTTTGGTTTTATTTTATATGGTTTGAAATGTTCTTTTGGAATCCGCTKTCAGATTTAATATTGGTGTAGGATTAAAAATTTATCCACATCCCTAATCAGTCTGATAAAAAAATAGACCAGAAAACCACATCAAATTATAACTCCAAGGTCAGTGGAGAAAATGTTGGACAACTGCAGTCAGAGAATATGCAGTTGGATTTAGATTGAACTTTTATTGAAAATTATTTACCTTATTTTCAGATGTTTTTATCATTTGTCAAACAAACTGGGGTGCTTTTCAGTATTTGGAGCATCAGAAAATGTTTAAAGTAATTAAACGGTCATGTTGAAAATTTTGTATGAGTTGATGTTTGRAAGACATCAACACTGCATACTTATGAGTTCATTTATTACAAGTTACATTGTCATCGCAATAATAAGCACTGTTATTGCACATCGTATGTTTTCCTGATATTGTGCAGCCCTAAAACATACAGTTTTCTTCTTCAGAATGTAATAATTTGTGATAAAAACATGATAAAAACACATTTAAGTCTTTATGCTCTTTCAACAGTCGGAAATTGTCTGACATAAGAGACACATGGAAAAATCATCTTTCAAAATGTTCATGTATTTACTTGTACAAGAGTATTTTGCAAAAAGAAAATATTTATTTTACCCATATGTAAAATAAAGCATATTTTATGATGAAAGTCCTTGGTTTAGTGATTTTCATTGTCATTTCATGACTAGTATGGACCCATTGATTCCTACTGATAGTGTTTTGAATTTGATCCAAAAGGTAATTCAGTAATGTTCAATGGTAAAGTGATGTTTATTCTAATAAATATGCAGTAACCAAAAACAAAAAGACACACTTACATTATTTCCACACTTACTGATTAACCTCACTCCCACTAAAGACCTCAGGTGCCCCCTAGGGGAGGCACGCCCTAAAGTTTGAAAACCCCTGAACTAGACTAATAGTTTTAAAACAACTTATGTTGACATTTAAAAAAAAGTCAGCCACTTTGGTCTAAGACACATAAGTCAGTTGTAAGCTTTTACTAGGTTACTTCAATTAAGTTATTAAACTGATATTAGGATTAGGAATGTAACTCTTAACAGGAAAAAATATTTTCAGACAAAACTCAGCTTTCAGCAGACTTACAGGGTAGATGTTTCCTCTGACCAGATAACATTTGTCTGGCTTCAGGACCAGATAATCTCCTCTGAAAGGGACAATCCTCGGCTCCGGACTGCATCCAGATATCTGTGACAGTCGGTCTGAATACAGGCCTCCACAGGTCAGGACATACCTGCACCACACTTCATTACCCTGTTTAAAACCAAGAAAAATACAATTCAATAATTCAAACACTAGAACTGTTTGCAGTGGGAATGCTGAGTGCTGAAGGAGTCTTTAGGTAAAGGCACATGGAGCAGGATGTGCTTCATGGTTGCTCTGATGAAAAATTATTTTTACTTTAAAATAAAATTATTGTTACTTTAATTAACACTAAAAGTCTGTCCATCATGATATATGGCTACATGTGGGAGAAATATCAAAACCTCTACGTTCTGAGTAATTTCTGGATGGTTTCCACAGAAATCAGATGATCAAATTTATTGCTTTTTGATGTGAAGTTAATGCCGTTTTTTTGTGTGATCAACTGTAGGAGAAAGGCTTTTAGAAATATAAGCTTTCCCACACCTTTCATAACAAGGTTATGAGGAATTTTTTTTACCAAGGAATTTCTTATTTTTCATCAATATCTTGACTGTGTAAAGTGAATCAGACACACAATAAGTGGAACCACTCAGATGAGTTCAATTTGATCCATAAACAATATGTGACTGTTTATTTACACAAATTAAACAAATCATGAGTTAACAACTTAATTGTGGGTAATCAGCTTCCTATAACAAGTTTTAGAATTAATAAGACATAAATCTGCATCCGACATAAATCTGCGTCCGAATTCAATAAAATACTTATGATAGAACAGTAAAACGTCAGTTCTGATGTTAAATAAACCAAACATTTACTGGCACATTAAACTTAATATTCTGGCAAGGCAAAAGTTTTAAGCAAAAAGAGGAAAAGTAATATTAGTATTTCTACCATTTACTTTTACCAAAGTCAACCGGATCGACACTTCTTTTCTCAACCCAGCTTCCGCCGGACCCGTCACCATAAACACTCAGCCTCTTTACCTTTGATGACTTTTTAGGCACCTTCTAGTAGCGAGACTGGTCCACCTCTGATTGGTAAGGAAGACTCGGTAGGTCCGCTCACCTTCATCGGTAAAACATGCGTGTTATTTCTCCGGTAACCGTCTGGGTCTGCCTCAATTCCRGGAGAGAAAAAYCGAGCTGTTCYRGTTTCTCCTTCAAAATAAAATCACTTCCACGAAGGAAGGAAAAGTCAATAATTGCTTGGAGGTTTAAAACCTCGGGGGAGTTTGACAGGCAATGTCGAGTTCCCAGTGGTAACCCCCTCGTTTGGCTCTGGAGTTAGGGTTACCTGATCAAAAACCGAAACCCTCCGAAGAGGAAAGACAGCCCTTCCTTGTTGGGTCAGGAAGTCAGAGTGTCAACAACTACTGAGCTCAAAGCTGTCCGGTGTTAGTATAAGAACCGTCAACTTCGGTTCCACCTCTAGGTGTAAGGATGAGTCAGAATAAGGAAAAGTTAAGACTTGCCAGGCGCCAGCCATGGTTACTGCTGTATGGTTGTTTAAACAAACATCATGATAACCTACTAACTTACCCTCTGAGGACTCTCCGTAATGATATACTGTATATACAGTATATCCATAGTTGGGTCGCAGGGGCAACAGGTTTAGGAGAAACCCAGACCTCCAGCTCATCCCAGGGGGACCCCAAGGCGTTCGCAGGCCAGAGAGGATACATAATCCTTCAAGCAAGTCCTGCGGGCTCCTACCAGTGGGACGTGCCCGGAACACCACTAAAAGGAGCATCCTAATGAAACGCTCGAACCACCTCAACTAACTCCTTTCGATGTGGAGGAGCAGCGTCTCTACTCTGAGCTCCCCTGGATGACGGAGCTCCTAGCCCTATCTATAACCCCTAATTTACACTACATGCATTTCTGCTCTGCTGCACTGCGCAGTTCGCCCCGTTCATTTACACCCCAATTTGTACAGCATCCGGTCTGCTCTGGTGCGAAGCACAGAGGAGCTCCGAGAAGGGTGTGCAGGAAATGTGAGATTGCATGATAAAGCCAGTGACAAATGGTAAATGGACAGTAATTATATAGTGGTGGACAGTAGTGGAGTACATTTACTTGAGTACTGTACTTAAGTACATTTTTTGTGTATCTTTACTTGAGTAATTATTTTGGGGTACTTATGACTTTCACTCCACTACATTTCAAAGACAAATATTGTACTTTTTACTCCACTACATTTCTAGGAAGCATTTAGTTACTCGTTACTTTTGGTTCAGCATAGCTTTGTAATTAGCTTGGTTAAAACCACACCCTTGTTCTTCGCTTTGCTTCATATGAGGGTCTGAACTCTCCACTATAGAGAAGCAATTCTTGCTGGAGGCGTGGCCTCTTTTAAAGTTTAAAATGATTGGATCGGTTGGCCGCAACGTATGTGTGTACCAGCTCCACTGTGAAGGAGGCTAAGCTAAGAAGCTAACTGGAAATTGAGTGCGCTTTAAACCAGGGGTCCTCAAACATTTTATGTCTGGGGACCCCTTACAAGGGTAAAATTCCATAAGATTCCAGGGACCCCCTCATAAACCCCATGCAGTTTTAAAAGATAATTTATTGTCATTTCAACCTCTAAATGCCGTTTATATATATA